CCTCGTTTTAAGATCTTTCCCCACATAAGTCTAAACCGCGCGTACGGGACCCCCAAAAAAATATGTTGGCGGAAAACGATTTCGCAAACCAGGCAACGTAGAAGGCTGAAACTTTGCAGGGATATTCTCCAGGTACGTGCGAATTAAAAAATTTTAAACTCAGCCCTCCAGCTCCCCAACCACAGCCTCAAGCAGCTCCTGAACCCAAAAATCGTTAGCAGCTTGGACCTAAACCGCAATTGTATGTGCAAATGAACGTGCATTTTTAGCAATTCGGACCTGAACCGCAATCGTATATGCAAATGAACATGGATTTTTCGAAAAACGATCGCTTGAGCAATACTTTCAATTTTTCAATGAGCTGAAAATTTGCATATTTTCAAAAATTCGTTCGCAGCTTGGACCTTAACCGCAATCGTATATGTAAATGAACGCGCATTTTTTGAAAACGACCGCTCGAGCAATACTTCTACTTTTTAGTGAACTAGAAATTTGCGTTATTTCAAAAAATTTGCATTTGTCATTTTTTTCACAAAGTGAACATTTGCCGAAAGAACGGCCGGACTTCATGCAAAAAACCGGTAATCATGCTCCTAGATGTGCATCACCTTCATCCCAATTTTAATGCACCACCTTCATCCCAATTGATGCCCTTCCTCCTACATGCCGGTAAGGATCAAAACACGGCCAATATCAGCCCAAGTATTAGGCTACGGCGCAGGGGTCATTCCTGCTAATAGCGATCAGCGAATTTAGTGCAAAAACGCATGATCGCACCGGAGAGTCTGGTGCGTTCCAACCTGGGTTGTATCTATGCAATGCAGAAGACGCAAACTGACGAGGGGTTGCGTGCGTGTGCGTTTGTATGTGCATCTGTACCGATTTTTCATCTCAAGACCTACAAGGCAGAAACTTTGGGAACTTAATATACATGCATGTACAGGCCCCATTCTTCAAAATGGGCGCTCTTACCCAAATGGTACTCAAGTACGGGCCCACGAAAGTTTTTTTCGGGTAAGTTGCTAACTTGGGAGCCTGAAAAGTTAAAAGACTGGAATTTTAAGGGAATGCTCCTTGTCCACGTAGGTCCTGATGAGTTCAAATCCAGCTCTCGGGTATGCGTGGTTCCTATGTACGAGCCCGTGAAAGTTTTTTGCGGGTAAGTTAACTCGGAAACCAGGAGAGCTAGAAAGCTGAAGTTTTAAAGAGACACTTCCTGACAGTCGGGGGAGAGGAGAGGAGGGGAGCAGACTGAATTCTTTTAGCTAGGATCATCTGCCGGAAAAAACAGTGCCGTAAGAGATAAAAATATGCGGGGAACTATGCAAAAAACGCATCTTCGCATCAGGAGTCGGTGCGCTGGCCATTTATTTTTAATGAGTTTTGGAGTTTGTGTTTATCAACCGAAAATGATTCTTGTTCAAAAAAACTCCCTTAAAGTCCTTTAGCGGAAAAAGGAAGCGATTGTCAGCAATTTTCGCGGTCATACGCCGCCGAGCATTATGACTATTTTCATAAGCGGCACGAAGTTACTCTTGTGATGAAAGAGTTTTATGTTTCTAAATACATACAAGAACTGTCTCTTTGTTTTGAGCAGTTGAATACGAATCGTCCTCGTGAGAAGCGTATGACAAATCCCAAAAAGCCATTAATTTTGGAGTTTTCATTAGAAATAATTGTCACCGTGGAAGAGTCATGCGGAAAATGGGAAATTTGGAGTAAGAGAAGCTGAAAAAGCATAAATAGCAATTAAGCGGGAAACTAAAGCACTGACGGGAAATGGCAGGGTAAAATTATGTATCCACAAGAAACAGAAAGAAGCGCTATTTTTAGTCGAAATTGTCAAACCCCTGTTTTCACGCCTCAAAAACTCCCGAAGCCTAAAAGACAAGACTTCGCAGAAAGCGTTTGGATAGCAGATATAAATAGAAAAAATAGTAGGTACGGTCCAGGGGAACCAAAATGGTACTCGTAAAAACGCATAAAAAATTAAATATGTTAACAGAAGGACTTACAAAAATGGCGAGAACAGCAGGAATATAAAAATGGAGAAGCAAACGAATGGCCCAAGAATGCTGCTGTAGACATAAAGAGCTACCGCAGCAGCTTGCAGGTGCCAGTTGAGGACACTCTCGAACACAACCCATAGTGCACTGATTAGTAGATACAGCACCACTAACATATCATCTGAATGAGGACAGAGTTAAGCTAATTATCGAACTTCTGAGGAACGATACTGCCTTCACACAAAATTCGAATTACATATATTCCCTTAAATCATGCATATATTGCTCAAAACCTATGTATTTTACACCTATTGCTAGCAATTTGTTCAGGAAACTGCTAGCATTATGTGTAAAATGCATAGTTTATGAGCAATACATAGATGGCTAATAGGAAATACTGAAATATATAATCCCAATTTTGTGTATTTCTGTGCAAAAAAAAGATGAATCGCTCTCACAGCAAACAGGCGAAGCCTGTATACCAGGAAGGAACTGCTTCCAATGTGTACTAGAAATACGTCACACAAGGAAGCTTTACGAAATCGA